TTTTTTTTTTTTTTTTTTTTTTTTTTTTTTTTTTTGCTGTGGTACTTGGATTAATATGAAGGCTATAAATGTCTTTTCCAGCAAGTTGCAGGTGAGTGACAGCAATGGATAGTGCTACATTGACTAAATGGTTGTAAACATTTCAGAGTCATAGCCGAGGATAGCAGCAGTTGAGTGTTCAAAAGAGAATTGTTTAGCACTGAACAAGTTATGTCCAGCATTTCATAAAATGGAGGAAAGTTGCTGTTACGTTTTCAGTATTGATGCAGACTTTCACAAAGGATGCATCACGGGGCAAAATTGAGAATCTTTTGTGTGTGTGTGTGTGTGTATTTTTTCTTTCAAGCAATGCACATCAATTTTCAGATTCAGATTCTGTACATACTTTGGAATCAGAAAAATTGGGTGTGAAACATCTTTTTGTTGTTGTTGTTACCCAAGTCTATGAAAACCAACTTACTTTAGAACAAAATCCTGAATTTATATGTGGAACCACTTTTTTATTTACTTACTTTGATTTTGTTTTTAGATGTTCAGTGTTTTTCTTCATTATATTTGAAAATGCATTAAATCATACAACAAAGTTTTGTAACTTGCTGTTCTTTAGTGTTGTATCACATATTACATCAGTATTGTTGTTATTTTGCTGTTCTAGCCCACAGGAAAGCAATCAAATGACATTTCCCCTCTATTTTCAAGTCTGCTTCCTTTTCCAAGCCATGGTGGGCAGAATGCCGCTGAAAAAGGGCTAAGACTGTCCCGGAAAATAGGACCTGTGTACTGTAATTTGTTATGATGCCGTTTCAAAGCACATGGATTAGAAGGGGTTCTTAGTATTACATTTCCTTTTTTCTCCTATCCTGTGCAACCAAATCTTTAATTACATCTTGTTGCACAGGTTATGAACAGCCTCCGTATGAGTTGCTTGAAATGTTACATGAAATTGATTTTCTTGCATAAAGAAACAAGTCAAAAGGAAGATATACACAAACATATATTGTACTGTAGCTATGTTCTGAGTATCACAAAACACTAGAGATGAAAAAGAAAAATTGATGCCACTTAAGTAAAACCCAAATCAAGATTCGTAAGAGATCTTGCAGTTTATCTATACCTATATACAATATGAGCATTACAGTTACTATGGAGATGCTGGAGAAGTCAAAACCATCCTGAAAGTTTCCTGTAGAGGTGCCAATGCCTGGTGGCCAAACTAAACTGCATTTTTAAGTTGGGTCCAATCTATTGAGCAGCTGGATGCAAGGAAAACTTAGGAGTGATGGTTAAGGTACAATAGGTGGCAATATTCCAACCCCTTGAACTAATGTCCTGAAAAAAGTATTAATAATCAGTGTCACTGCATGTGCGAATCAAAAGCAATTGGAATAATTTAAATTAAGGTAATAAATCACTGTCCGTCTTAAAAAAGAAAAAAAAGACTTAAATTTAAATTGGCATAGGCTTTTGAAAACTTATATGAAAGTTCATGATATTGCAACTTTAGCTTAACATTTATATGAACCAAGTGATAAAAGTAAATTTATTTTGTAATTTATTTTCCTAGGTGCTGTTAAGTTTCTTTCTTGAATTTTACCAGGTGTTTGGAAAGTTAAGGCACTGGTTTTGCAAACCTATAGGCACATCACTGAAATGACCAGTTGATGTCACTGGGACTGCTTCTCGGGTCATGGCTTTGAACCTGGGGCCTTGGTCTGACCAGCAGAGCTGCTCATCTTAGCCTGCCATGATGTGTCTGATTTCCCCCTAAATTAGTGAAGGCTGACCGAAACCCCCAGAAGGGCCTTTACCCTCTGCCTACCCCGGTCATCGGACTAGCTGGCTGGGGTCAGCTGACCCTCCACTTCCCACATATAAACCCCTGAACAGGAAGTATCTACCTGACTCATGACTGTTTTTCTGCTTGCTACTAGATTGTGCTCTTGGCTTTATCTCCCAGCTTCTTAATTTCAGCTCATTGGTGCCCTTGACTCCGTATGCATTCAGACTTTACTGTCTGATTTGACCAGGTTTGTGCCCCCCCCCCCCCCCC